CCGTAAAGGGAAATATGTAAAATTAATTAACCAAGTTTATGTGCATTGCTATTTACTATTTACTAGTAGTAATTTACTATATATAATGGTTTTCCAAGGGGCAGTTCTGGAGAAAAGGAGGGCCTATGTATGGCTTCCTCTGCTTGGGAACAATTAATTAAGTGTAGTTTTTTCCTTGAGAACTATAATCATCAGTGTCTTTTTAATTTCCCTTTCTTTTCTGGCAAACCATGTTGAGTGAAATTTTGGATTGGTTAACATCGGAAGCGATAGATTTCGATGAAAAGGCAGATGCAATGTGTAAACATTCAACTAATCTACGTATTTTGTTGTATGCGGAAAAATTAAATATGTAGTGTTTATTTGGTACTCCGTGTATCGTATATATTTTTAGCAGTCGATATCTTGCTCATTTCTCACTATTCATGTTATATACAAATGTGTTAGATTCATTACATCATCTAATCAATCCATCCCAATGGAATCGTACTATTATTATCGGGCATTTTTACCATGAACGCAAATTCCCTATATCTATCTTCCAACACAAGAGATTAATATTATGTGTAGACATGGCCACGGGCCAACCGGCCCGCCGACCCGGCACGGACCCGGCCCGGTCAAACCCGTTGACCACGGGTCCGGGCCCGGCTCGGATTTTCAACCGGGCCGGTTCAGGGTCGTCTTTTTTTCGACACCGACCCGGAGGGCCGGGCCGGGTCCGGGCCGGATCCGGTTCGGCACGGGAAAAATCAATTGTTTTTGAATTTTTCTATTTTTTTTTAATTTTTCCGGGTTAGACTCGGGCCCGGATTGGCCCGGCCCGCCGGGTCATGGGTCCGGCACGGGTTTAGGGCGTGCCGGTTCAGGGTCGACAAAACCCAACCCTTCGGCCCGCCGGGCCGGGCCTTGAACCGGCCCGCCATTTGGCCATGTCTAATTATGTGTATATATGTTCGTGCCATCGTTTGCACCCGTTACATACGCTATTAAGGTCAAATATAAAGTGTTATAGGGAATCAGGTAAAACTATATTGTATGCCCTATTGATAAGAGGTTGTGAAATGTTCATCAATTCCAAGTGAAAAAAATTAAAGGCAAACCAAGATTCATTTATTTTGAAAACGTGATGCCACTTCATTTACTTAATATATCACATGTAACAACTTGCAAAAGTCACATACTATCAGCTGGATGGGAATAAATGGGAAACACGTGTTTTTGGGTTTCCTTTATGAGCTTTCAGATTTCTTGGTTTTTCACACCGAACCAATCAATAGCTAGCTAGCAAACTAGATAGTAGATACCCAAATTCAAAGATATGGATATAGTTTTTCACGAGTAATTCAATTTTAAATACATCAACAAAGATAATAAAGAACTTTAAAAGTAACTATATTGGTTTGATTATAGAGTAATACCCACCAAGTGCCACTTTTATGGAGCCAAAAGCTGATGAGCTTTTTCCATCATTTTGACCTCGTGTTACTGAAACTCAATAAAAACTGAGAATGCAATCATAGCCGAAAGCTTGATGTTGATATATAGATAAATAAACTTTATTCACCTTAAGATTATAACTCAAAATGTCTAATCGAATCAACCATTTTGCACATTCAGCCAAAATATTACCAGCTTAAGACTAGATAATTACCTTTCTTCTGAATGTTCTTCATAATGTTACAAAAAAATTAGTTAGATGAAAACAAAGTTAAATAAGAATCCAGCTACTAAAAAGGCCCCCAAACATCTGTATTAATATAAATCATCCACATCAGCTCCACCGGCAGAGGCCGCAAATGGGTCGGGCCCAAAAGATGGCCCACCAGCCAACTCAGCAAAACGGAACTCGGCCCCGAACCCTCGGGACTGCTGCAAGGTCTGGCCAAAGGTCTGGTACTTGCGTACGTCAGCATCACTCACACTCCTACGGGCAAACTTCATAGACTCCTCAAAATGGGCTGCCTTTATCTCTGAGACCTCGTCTTCAATATCCTCGTCCATCAACTCGGGATTTTCTCTTCTTCTCTTCTCTCGTTCTATGTCCTGAGAAAGAGGAAAATCGAGTTCATAACCAAATTACCAGATGCAGCAAAACAGATTACAGACATAAAATATAAAAATAAATAATAATATCATTTCTAAACAAAATGCAATAAGTATGACATTCCAGAAAAGAATAACGGAGCAAAGAGTAAAGAATGTGGAAGAAGAAAACGTACTTTCTCAATGGTCTCTCTGATGGCATACTTGCAAGCCCTCTGACAAATCTCGGTAATATCTGCACCACTAAATCCTTGAGTGTACTTAGCAAGAGCTCGCAGGTCAATATCTTTGGAAAGTGGTGACTTTCTGAGGCAGGCCTTGAAAATTTGATGGCGCGAATTTTCATCAGGCAGAGGAATATATATTAACTGATCGAGACGGCCAGGACGTAGAAGGGCCGAATCAATAATATCCGGCCTGTTAGTGGCACCGATTATGAAAACAGTCTTTTTGGCATTCATTCCATCCATTTCGGTCAAGAGTTGGTTCAGAACTCGGTCTGCAGCACCCCCGCCATCTCCAACACTACTTCCCCTCTGTACACAGTACAAAAAAAAAAGCATGTTCAACTTTCACATAATTTGTGTGGACAAAAAAAAGAACGGAAGAAGGAAAGCATGTATGTATTAGTCTAATGTATATTAAAAAAGATATGTATCCTTTAGAATTACACATAACCTTCAAATTTTTATTCTTAGCTACAAATGGGTCCCTCTAGATCACTCTGAGGACTCACAGATTTTGAAATATGCTTTCATGATAAAGTACTAGTCAATTACAATGTAATCAAGATCAAAGTATATGTTTTTAAACTATTTATTGTAGTGGTAGGGAATGTCCAACCTGTGTAGCAATGGAGTCAAGCTCATCAAAGAAGAGCACACAAGGAGCAGATTGTCTGGCCTTATCGAATATTTCACGAACATTAGCTTCACTCTCTCCAAACCACATAGTGAGCAATTCAGGTCCTTTAACACTGATGAAGTTGGCTTGGCATTCATTAGCAATTGCCTTGGCCAGCAGAGTTTTACCACATCCAGGAGGTCCGTAGAAAAGAACACCCTTCGAAGGTGACATGCCGAATTTCTCAAACTTCTCTGGGTGCTCCACTGGATATTGAACGGTCTGCAAAAGAGTAAAGTTATTAGTAACCAAATTAAACAAACAGTGCATCTCAAGTAAGCTAGCTGAACCCAGAAGCCTTATTACCTCTTGGAGCTCCCTTTTGACATTTTCAAGTCCTCCAACATCTTCCCAGCTTACGTTAGGCACTTCAACAACCTGTTCACAAGATGACAAATTTTTTTCAAGTTAAGAACCTAAGCTCAACAAAAACAGAACTACCTTCTGTTTTTTAATAGTGGCCTTTCTGCATTAACTTAATGAGAATTAAAATTTTTGAAGATTAAATCCTCTTCTTTCAGTATTTTTACCCCCTCCTTCCCAAAAAAGATCTTAAGTTCCAACTAGACCATTACTTAAATGGACTACACAGGAAAAGAGACATGGTGAAGATAGCGGATACTGTTTTAAGGAATGGAGAAGAAAAATAAGGGACTGCGGAAGAAAGATTGTTTAAAAGATTATTTGTCTATTTGCAGATTTTTTATTCAAATTTCAAATGTAAAAAGTAGGTTACAAATCAAATAACAATCGAAAAAAGCGCTACTTACCGTCTCCCTCAAAGCGGAAGGATTGCTCGTACCAAGAGCAGTGTTGAAGTGCTCGTTTGTTACAGCCATGGAGTTTAGTATCTCAGCATCAATTGTGTCATCTTCCAAATCAATGACATCCATTTTCTCTCTAATACACTGAAGGGCCGCTTCAGTGCAAAGGGCCGCGAGATCAGCACCGACATAACCATGGGTGTCCTTTGCTATTATCTCTAAGTCAACCTGTAATATTATCACAATATTTGATCAAACAAAATTAAACTCGTCGAGAGCAAGAAAATAAAAAACAGAAAAGTAACCCCTGACGAGATTTACAGGGCCTTACATCATCAGAAAGCTTCATGTTCTTGGAATGAATACGTAAAACCTCTAGGCGGCCGACTTCATCAGGAACACCAATGTCAATTTCCCGGTCAAACCTACCAAACCTTCTCAGGGCAGGGTCAATGCTGTTGGGCCGGTTAGTCGCGCCCATAACAATGACATGGGCCCGAGACTTCAGCCCGTCCATGAGCGTCAGCAGCTGAGAAACAATCCTCCTCTCAACCTCCCCATGAGTTTTTTCTCTCTTGGGAGCAATGGAATCAATCTCATCAATGAAAATAATGGAAGGAGCATTCTTTTCTGCCTCCTCAAACGCCTTTCTCAGATTGCTCTCACTCTCCCCAGCCAATTTTGACATGATTTCGGGACCGTTGATCAAAAAGAAAAATGCACCCGTCTCGTTTGCAACGGCCCTCGCGATTAAAGTCTTTCCAGTGCCAGGTGGCCCGTAAAGCAAGATTCCCTTGGGAGGTTTGACGCCAATGGACTTGAAAAGTTGGGGGTGCCTAAGGGGAAGCTCGACCAATTCCCGAATCTGGGCCATCTGCTTCCTAACTCCACCCACATCATCATACCCAACCTCATCAAGCCTATCCTCGTCTTCTCTCCTCACGGGATCTCCCTCACAAAAGATCTCAGTATCGGGAGCTACAACACAGTACTCGCTGGGGTCAGTCTCGATGACCTTAAATTCTACACTTCTCATGCTGCCCCTCACAAGAAAATGGTCCCCTTTCCTAACTGGGCGGTATGCTTCCAGGAAGTAAGCTGCGCAAAAAAAATATGTACCAAAACTCTTACAACTACTAAAGATTGCTTTGTAGGAGCTAAGAAAACAAGATAATAATTAATATGTGAGGGCTTACGTTTCAAGTACGCATCAAAGAGATTCCCGGTGAGTCCTTCGATTGTGTCATCCAGGGGTAATATGTGAACGCGGGTTCCGTTTTTCACATCCGGGCACTGGTGTACAGATACAACGTCACCAAGACGAACCCTTAGGTTTGCTCGGACGACCTTATTCATTCGAATCTTTGGCTCTTCCAAAGTCTCGTCAGCAAAGGCAATGCATACTGTATCCTTTCTTTTCTTCCCCTGAGGAACCACAAACAGCACAATGGTTAATTACAGGATATCGGAATAAAGTGCACAGAGATCAAAACGATAAAACCCCCCAAGGGTAAAAGATTATGCATGTTTTTCCAGTTAATTGAACCATGAAAAGGTAACGAACACGCATCAAGTTATTCTATCATCTTAGAGAACAATTGCACAGAGTATGTACTGGTGTTAGTAAAAGAAATTCTAATTAACCCACTATTCAACGGTTACAAGATCATCAGGGTTCAAATGCCATCAAGCAGAAAACATAGAAGCTTCCTTATGCAGCCACAAGCCAATTGCAGTTATGGATGAATACCAATTATTCCAACGTCTAACGGCAAATACGGAATTCTCGGAATTTAACGTAAATAAACTAAAAAATGAACCTTGATCAAGATAGTGTCACCACCGAAAAGCTGGAGCTTTTCCATGGTGGCGGGATGGAGGAAGACAGCGGAGTTGTCATCGTTGACTGCCTCATCGATGATCAGGCGATTAGCTGCTTTTTTCCTCTCCAGGATCGCTGTCGAGAAGTCCTTTCCACCTTTGCTGTTCAAAACAAAGAGATAGAGAAGAAAAATAAAATGTAAGATTTCTGGCGATTAACTCGTCCAAAATTGGAGCAACTAAGGAGGAGACGTGATTTCATAGAGATAAACTTAGTTTAGTTCGGATCTACTCACGAATCAGATGGTTCTGCTTTGCGACTCATGCTCGTGAATATGTTTCTGACAGAGCAAAGAAAACAGAATATATATAGAGAGGGGTCTCTCATGCGAGAGTAGAAAATTTTCCTTTTCCTATCTTAATTAACATTCCTACTATTAATCATAGTACCATTCCTTTTAGGACTTAAAATTGCAACCTTTTGGGAATTAAAGACACTCTCCTCCTTTCATGAAATATTAATTACATTGTTGCGACAGCGGATGAGTGTTTCCATAGTTACTCCATTTTATTACTATAATGTAATTTTAATAGTCTTAATTATCATGTATTAACCGTTTGTATTTATCTCTTCTATTTCTCTCTCCAAATTTTGTTTTACACGTTTGTTCCTCGTTCATTTTCCTATTTCTCTCTTCTTTTCCCTATTTCAGAGTTTGTTCCCTCTTTCTTCCGTTTTTTTCTTCTTCCAATTTTTTTCTTCCCTCATGTACTCATATAAACACGATTCTTCTTCTTCTTCTTCTTCTTCTTCTTCTTTTTTTTAAATTACTTCTTTTTTCTTCTTCAGATTTCTCCTTCTTCAATTTTTTTTCTTCTCTCATATACACGCACACACATACTCCCATATACACACTCTCACACACATACACGTATATATGACGAGGTGCGATAGAGGTGCGGCAGCAAGAGAGGGGGAAAATTGCATTTGAGCCTCTTAAATGAGATCCGATCTTCGACAAACGACTTCAAATTGACGGGTTTCCCCGCAAGCTGGAACTGGATGCCGGCAGCCGATAATTTTATTTTGCAGTAGTCTATTTTTTTTTTCTATTGTCCTAATTTTTCACATCAATTAACAATATCTGGATTAATTTGGACATGTTGACTTTTATAAAATTTTGTTGGAATGTTGATTAATTTGATTGAACATTTTGTTTGTTTGTTTTTCTTTTTAATATTGTTGTTATTAAATTGTATATGGTGGCAGGAGTTCCAATTCTTTTTCCTTGTGTTTTTTTTAGGGTTTTGAT